TGGCGCAGGCTATATTCTCAACTAAGTGTTGAGCAATAGCCGATTCCATATTTTTTTTTTGGGGGGGGGAAGATAGCATATTTTATCTATCTTACCAAGTCGTATTTTGGAAGGTACATGCTGATTGATTCTAGTTTCCAAATGCAAGGTTGTACGCCCCACATAACCAGCAGCACACTGGCAATTAAACTCATATACTAAATTACTCAATTTGATGTAGGGCAATACATCCTTGCGAAGCGACGGAAACACAGACCTAGTTCGAAAAATGCTACGTAAAGCAACTGATGGGAAACAACCAGAAACCGACTTGCTAACCTGCTTAATTAAGCCCTGACCCCTATCCCCAATCCAGGGAATCTTCAAATACACCGGACATTTAGAAGGACCCTAGACTTTAGGGAAATGAAATTCCTTAGTCTTATAGTCAATAAGGGCCTCCGGATAGCCGTTACTGAGGAGAATCTCCCTAATGTTCTCAAATTCACGGTCCAATCTAATAGGAGAACAAATTTTAAGCGCTCTATACACCAAGGTTTTAACAAGATTGATTTTCCTTGATGCAGGAGCAAATGAACGCCAATTCAAATAGAGACCCGTAAAGGTGGGTTTACGATAGATGCTTGTAAGAAAACCACCTTCTACTACGCTCAACAAAAACGTCCAAAAAGGCAGACAATTGTATTGTCCTTCTCCCCTTCCATAGTGAAGGACAAACCATTGTGTAAGGAGTTGAGCTCATTAAAGAACTCAACAGCCTCACTTTCATTAGAAAAAGTTGCAAAAGTGTCATCGACGTACCTGACATAAACAAACGGTTTACACTTTGCCAAAAAGTAACATCTCGTGGTAGCCCACAAAAATATCAGCCAATGCAGGGCCAAGGGGACTGCCCATCTGGACCCCATCCACTTGACTATACATGACATTATCAAAACTAACTCCACTGAACTGGTACATAGTATCATAAGTTCTATAAATATATCCTTAGCAAAAGGAAGTGGAGTAATGTTTACCTTCATGTTATGAGTTTGTGGTGTTTACATGCATACACTACACTCTCTTTGTATAAGTGTGTAATTTATACACACTTATGTATGTATAAGTCAAAGTGTGTATGTACAGACTTTACACACTTAATGAAGCGGTACACTGCGACAGCAGTAGTAATATTTGAATTTGAAAAATATAGAGAAAATGTGATTTCTTTCTCACTTTTTAAATGGCTTCTTTCTTATCAGAGTACGAAAGCAATTCCCTTTTTTATTTTCACATATTACTACTACTGTTGCAGCACACCGATTCATTCAGACAGCTTTCGTTATTTCCTGTCCATCTGGAAGATAAAAATTGCTTTAAGTGAAGTGTAATCTGTCACTTTTTTGTTATTGTGTGCATCGAGAATACACGTGTTTTATCTGCTTACTGCTTTTACAAAACAATAAAACAAACAAACGATAACAGTCACGTTGTTCAATTTATTTTAACTGCTACTTTGTACTCCCTTACTTGACCAGTCACTTTTTAGTAGTTTTACTTTTAGTTAACTGTTTATCTTCTACTTCGTTTAACTGTAACTCTAAATTTTTTAACTTTAATGTCTAATAAGATAATTAATTGGTTTTCTTACCTCAAACACAACTACATTTTATTCATTTTTAACACGTATTTGAAATGTTACAGTTCAACTTTTCAACTCAGTTTGATAAACAAAATTGTAAAAAAAACGCAAGCAACCAACGTTTTTAAATGAACTACTAACTAGTTACTAGTAGAGTGCATGAAAAGACAACGTAAAAATTTCCTATTTTTGTAATTTTCTACAGCTTATTTTATAATAGACCCAGTGACGCACGCACCTGTCTAATTTATTTTTTAAAATAAGTATTTGTTTCTTACTAATGATTTAAGGCGTGTTTGTTGCAGTTTTATTTTTAAAGATATTTTAAATTTCAAACGCGAAAAATATCAATTTTTCTTTTTTTTTTTACTGAAGATTAAATTAAGGCATGGAAAAATAACAAATTGACACTCAGATACAAAACTTCACTCAAAATATTAGTTATGCTTCAACCCCGATGGCTTAAAAAGCATTGTATAAAAATTTAAAAAGATGTTGTTAGTTAATCGAATCTTGTAAAAAAATGTAGAGAATGTGTGTAGAGTGTGGATTTATTTTGAAGAGGCTATATGAGTTAGTAACAACAAGAAACGTGCTTTGAAATAAAATAAAAATAAAATACAAAAAAAAAAAACGAACACGTTCAGTTTCAGTATCTCAAGAAAGTAGTAAAATAAAAAATACAAAGGAAACAATTCATTGTGATGACATCTGTTTCTTTAAAAATCACAAAAATAAGAAAAGAAAACAAACGATAAAAAATGAACAAATTCTACAATCTACAATTATCATCTACTGTTGAATTTACCTTTTTTAATGCCAAATTATTGCTTCTTACAGCAAAAATCCAAGATTTAAAATTTTGTCAGTTTAACTTACTTGATGCAGCGTGAAATGATGTAGTTCCGAACTTAAACTATATTCGCTCTCGGCAATACTGTGGTCATCCGCCGAATTGCTACCATCATCTATCATCGTTTCCATTTCCATGTCAGAATCTTGAACAAATATACGAGAGACAAAACTTAATCGTTTAAGACCTACACCAATCCCTTCTCCTCCAACTTCACTTTGTATTGCCTCCGCCTTCACCTCTTCTGTACTTGCGAAATCTACAGTTTCACTAGCAGGAGCGTCATCTTTGTGAGAGTTCTCTGTATAGTTAATAAAGTAACATGTCGAAGCTCGCCTCCCCAACGATCTGTCCACATTTCGGCGCTTTAGTTCATCTGCACTAAAACCCCGCTGCACAAGCCTTTTATCACTGTTAGTTTTTTCTACAGGTTCATTTGGTAACGTTTCACTTTTATCATTAGACACGTTTTTTCTTGGATATAAAACATCTTCGGCCGGGTGTACTACATTTCCTGCAGTTAAAGATTTCGAGGTATCTGATTTTCTCTTCGGTATCCACTTTGGATTAACCCCATCCTGGAGCAAAGGTTCAATTTTGGACATTCTGAAACAAAACAAAAAAAAAGGTGGTCGCGCTTTTCTTAAATTTATTTTTTTAGTAACATCAAGAAAGCTGATTGTCCCAGGTTATTGTTCGTAGAAATAATTTGTTTTTGTTACTGATAAACTGAAGTTACTAATGACAACGAATCATAATCATAGCAACCAATGTAGTTGATATTTTTAGAGCAATGCAACAATCACCATGCAAAATAATGACACTTGCAGCCTTCATTCTTTTTTTAACCTTTTTGGTTCGATTTTTGTATAAACAATTTATTTACTTTAGTTTTAAGGCCATATCACGTCGAAACACCGGTTTTCGTATAACCGAATTTAAGCAACGTCGAGCCTATTCAGTACCTAGATGTGTAACCGCTTGGGAATACCAGATACTGTCAGCTTGGATGGTTTAAAATGGATAACACCTCGGAAGTGGAATTCGAAGAGTGGAGCTCCAATTTCAATTGGGTTCGTTATATTCACTTACGCACAAATGATTTTGGGAAATGTATGAATCTACCTCTTCTCCCCACCAGCTATGAATTAATTAGTAGAACTTGTATCAGCAAATCATTATTATCTCCTAAAACTGATCAAATGATCTTTGAATCCAAGCGCTTTTGGTTAGCTATTATCAAGAATGTTTTTTTCTGTTTGTATATGTATATTTTTTGTAGCAATAAAAATGTTTTAATTTCCGAACAGATTCGGTACATTTTCATATGAACACGGCCACAATGTAGTGGCTGTGTTCAAGAATTAAAATTATTGCTATAAAGAAAATCTACATATACAGACAGGCGGAAAAATATCTTTGATAATGGCTAATAGATTTATCCGAAAGCGCTCGGTTCCAAAGATCATTTGGACATTTCTATAGGAAATTAATACTATTTCCAACACAATTACATACTCACATACATACCATGTAAAAACATGAACAAAGTTTATTTTCTACTCAGTAACACACAATATTTACAAACATGCCAAAAAGATTCCACAACACAACACAATGTTTAAATTGTCTATTGGTTAGAAATTAACATCAGCATGTAAAATATTTGACCAATCAGAGAAAACTAAAACCTTATTTTTCTCAAGCCTAATTTTCTTGAAATAAAGATCGATAAATTTAGACTTCCAGAAGCAAAGATGCCACCTTCTCCAAGCTGTTCAAACAAAAGAGAAGATGTGACTGAATAGTTTTCCCTCCACTCCCCCTCCGGTGAGTACTGAATGAAAGTGTCAGCGACTTCAAACGAATCATCTTGAACAACAACAGGGAATCTTCGCTGACGATCAAAGTTTTTTCCCAACCACAGTTGACCATGGACCAACTACTCAAAAGCCTTTTTACTGCGGATCAATTATGTTATAGACAAGCGTATGGTTGCCAGAAAGAAATACAACAGCAGAAATAGATTTACGTGATTTATTTCAATAAGAACGTGTGGTTTTGGGACAGCTACCTTGCGGTATAGTTCATAGGTCGGCTGAAGATCTAGGTTGATCTCTCATAGTAGTTCTCGCTGGTTGGCGTGGCGCTACTGTTGCTGGCTGCTGCTGCTGACCGCTCAGCCTGATCGTGACAAGTCTCTTCCCTGGCCTCCTGTTGACTGCGGTTGTACTTCCGTGTGACCCCTTTTATGGCGTTTTCTTTATGGCTTGACAGGCTCGTAAAACGACGCGAGTATAATTAGGAGGGAAGCATTTTTATTGGTCGAAAAATAGAAACACTTTAAAATATTATTTTATTTTTCGTCCGGAACTTGTGCGTCGGGAATATGCGTAAACGCGTAAATATGGTAATTTTGTGACGGGGCCTTGTCCCGTTCACATCCGGCTCTCGCTCTTGAGTATGTTAGTTTATTTGCCTTCAAATCAGCCGAGATATGTCTTATTTTATTTTATAACAATTACTAAAAGTCTTTTCTAAATCGCAGAGTTTTCAGTGGACCAACTATCCAAATACTTTAACTTTGATTAAAACTATTTTTACTCCGTTTTGCCTTTTTTCCAATTCATGTACATATGTTTGTAAATACAAATGTTTTATTGAACATGCATGAGAACATGTTTATTTTTATTTGATCATTGTTTGGATATCGGACGTTCGGATTTTTAATGTAAAAAAAAATGGAGGGCCGAATCTCCTACAAATGGTGACCATGACGATAAAAACCAACTTTCTGATGCACTTATAGATATAGTCTTTAACATTGCCAAACACTGCCTTCACACAAATGCCAACAACTCGATGTTAGAACATATCTAAAAACACAGCAACGCTGGAGCAGCAATAATCACAGAATTAAACACCAATCCCATAAAAGTCGCTTTGACTTTAAATCTACTGCATACAACACTACAAATGTATAAACTTGGTTTTCCCTACCTACAGGCAATTTTCAATGCCAAGTGGATCACGTCACAACATACTAAATACGCATATGTGGTGGAGAAGCTTCCCCAAGACGTTGCAACGGAAGTGGTCGATTTATTGTAATACAGTGGGCTATAAGTTTTTAGCCACCCATAATTACAGCAATTTTGGCTTGTTTAATAACATCCCTTCTTTTTTTCAGACAATACCGTGTTAGTATCAAGCTACTCTCATCTATGAACAATAGTTGACACCAGAAACAAATGGTTGTGGACTCTTCTAATTTTCTAACCTTCTCCAACCTTAAAAAAGCATAATCCATATTATACGCCTACGCGCAGATAACGCTCAACCAATAAAAATGCAAAGAATCGAATCAAGCAATTCTATTGGTAGATCGCCTCCCAAAGCAAGAATTGCGCCAAAATATCTTGAGCCACTTTCGAAAACCCAAAAGGTTATAAAAAGGAGAAAAGACAACCCCAGTCAGTCAGTCTAGCTCACTTTTTGAGCGACTGCACGGTTCAACTCTCTGTCTCCGGACGGAGAGGAACCCGAAGGAGGCTACGCCGAAGGGCGAAGTCTCCTTGGGGGGAGGTTAACTCGGCCCTGAACCCGTTTATACGGGTTCAAATGGGCTATTTTTTGGCTGAGCCTAATGGCTCGGGAATGCCCACATTAAAAAAGGCCTTGTGCCGCATGACACCCTCGTGGGTGGGTGACTGAATATCTCAGTCCAGCTCACTTTTTGAGCGACTGCACGGTTCAACTCTCTGTCTCCGGACGGAGAGAGGAACCCGAAGGAGGCTACGCCGAAGGGCGAAGTCTCCTTCGGGAGGTTAAATCGGCCCTGAACCCGTTTATACGGGTTCAAATGGGCTATTTTTTGGCTGAGCCTAATGGCTCGGGAATGCCCACATTAAAAAGGCCTTGTGCCGCATGACACCCTCGTGGGTGGGTGACTGAATATCTCAGTCTAGCGAACTCGCCGATCGATTGCCTAATTAATCCACGACATTCAAAAACAGAATTTTACTGCGCATTTTTGACGAACTTCAACTGACTCACCTGAAACACTCAACGAACAACTATCGAAACTTTGAACAATATTTCTTATGCACATTGATTTATTCATTACTAAAAATAAGAAATACGAATCACGAAAACAAACACAGACACGTTCAAAGGTAGACTACTTTAGCAAACTTTACCAAAAAACTCTTATTATATATTTCAACACAAACACAAAATAACAAACATAACGACACAGAGACATCCAACATTTCAGCAACATATACAATTAACGCACGCAACAATACAAATATTAACCTTGTTTGTAAATATGTAATTGTATATAAATGTTTTATTTGTTTCGATCTATAAATGTCTCGTTTTTACTTTGTTTGAAATCTCATGTTTGTTATATATTTGTTTGGGACAAGGTTTAGACACACAACCGATCCGAACAAAATCCTTCTGATTAATTAAATGAACCAAAAGTCCCAACATGGTCATTCCTATCTATTGACTGTTATAAAATAGATTTACAAAATGTCCTGTCGTTGTAACTCTAATAGAAAGACGAAAAAAATCACAGAAACAAAGGGAGCTTAAGCAATTTAGAACTATCAATGTCACGGGAACGTTTTATAATTTTTCTTTTATAAAACACAGTTCTAATAACAAGTTTAGTTCCTTTTTTGTGTGTATGCTACTCCGGAGGTAACCAAAAATTGATTTCCTTTCTGGATCCTTATTCTGAATTCATGATGAAATTTTGTGTCAGTTCGTCTTGATTGAAAAATTTGGTTCTTCTTTGAAGATTTGATATACTTTGAAATTTGAAAAACCCTTCTTTAGCAACCAGTAGGCCCCGTCCAGTAACGGCCCCTCATAAGAAATTAAAGGATATGGCCAATCTCTTAACGGCATTGCTGTAACTTTTGTCTCTTATGTCCGAATGCAACGTCTGAAGCTAGGCTGGAAAAAGAACCCTTTCAATGAAATGCACAAAACTGTTGATATCTCTAACAGCCGTTTTATTAAGTATAAAGAAAGACTGGTTGAATAAAAGGTCTTTATTAACTACTGCAAATCAAAATACTCTACTGCCTGGAGTGGTTTGTAGATTCTGGTCACAACCGTTAAA